TTCAGCAGCATTGTACCAATTCGGTATTTTCAGGTATGCATGCTACTCGTTATTGTATTCTTCATTGATGGACGGATACAATGGGAAGCTTACACTGTGATTTATGCACTCGCTTTTCTTTTTGCTGCTGGTTGTTTCTTGACGCTGCTTCTTCACTATTTTGAAGTGCCAAAGTCAACTCAACAGTCAACTAAACAACTTTGGTTACAAATTGTAAGTACTTTCGTGACATACTCATTTTTTGTTACAAAACAAAAAAGGAATCCAAACATACTTTGCGCAAGCATGCGCCGCAGCCGCGTCGCAGCTTTGCGCGCTTGTCCCACAAACTTACCATAAATGCCCGCAACATAATTTTATGATTTAGGAACTAATTTGGAACGTTTTTGGCTGTGTACTATGCGCAGTTGGCTCAGTTCTACTCGCATGGGACTGGTATCAATTGCGATCCGGGAAAAATTTGCATCACGCGACAATGGCTCCAAGAAATATTGGCGAAGCACGATGGCAAAGACGTGTTGCCATCGTTTCGGTAGGTTTTCTGTCGAATTAATCATTAGAAAAATTTTTGTGCACATTTTCCATTTTAGCGAGTTAGTAAAAGCCGATCATTTTTTTCGAATCAATCAAATCTGTTCGCTTTTTTGGCCTGCATTTGTAATTTTTAGTTTTTGTTCCTTGGAAAGTTTGGTAAAATGCCCTAGAAAATGCTGAAAAAAAGAAACGCACAGGAACCTACTTCTCGATAATTATTGTATGTGATGAAAATTATTCACATTTTATTAAGCAAGCATTTGCTAGTTTTTCCTCCACATAAACATCTCTACGAAAGATTCCTCTGTAATTCAGCTATTACAGGGATCTCTACTATTGGCTGCAGCTCTCTTCTTATTCACGATAGCAAGAGTGAAACGAACGGGAATTTACTGATACAGCGGATCGGAATCAAGATATTCAAAAAATACATTTTTATGACTTTTCCAACATTGAAAAATAAATCTGAAAAAAGGCTTAACTTGCGTTCTGATACATATTTGTGCAATGAAACTCTAACGTATAAGTTAAACTGAGTTCAGAACGTTACGCTTTTGCCATAGCACCTTGCCATGATTTCTTAGGTATAATACCGATTGTGGTGATGGAGAAATATAAAACACCATTTTCTTAACGCGCACCTATTTATCAAAATTTTCTGAAAATTCCCTCACGAGATAAGCAGCACAAACCTTCGGATGTGCACAGATTTTATAGCAATAAAAACATCCAGGTAGTTTACTATGTTGATTACAGTATTTATATACATCCAAAAAAATCACGTAGGTTGAGAAACCTCGCCATCATCAGACTTCAATCTTTTCGCAGGAGTACATCCTTCTTCTTCATTGTCAGTATGATAACCGAATAAAAAATCTTTGCGACGTCTCCAGCCTATACATCGGCGAAGGGCTTCATTGTAATGTCGGACCTAAAATAGGAAACTCAATGCTAAAATTGCCTTTCTTTATTTCTGGCCCATCAAATTTTGGGAGGAAGCAAAAAACACAGTTACCTGGAGGGGAACCCTTTCATTTGGAGCAGCTATCTGCCCGTCTTTGTTGTCATTGAGAAACAGATTTGGTTCCTCATTATCTCGTATCGCAACAGCAGCTCCCACAAACTGAGCCACTAGTTCACGTCCAATAAAAGCGATAACGAAAGAAACGACATTTTCGCACTGAGGAGCACCCAGCCATTCGAGGAGATTTCCAGAGTCGTTTTTTCTGGAATAAATCGCTAATTTTTCGTGAATGGAGGCCCAAAATGTGGAGGGCTTCTTCTTTATCTCCCTTCTTCTTGCGCTCTTGGAATCGACGATTGCATTATGTGCAGATGGAAAAAAATTTTTAGAATA